AATGTGGTTCTCATGCCATATGTCTGACTTGCTTTCACTGATTATGTTCAAATTTTAAATATTTATTATACATCATGTCATAGATTAACAGATATATTGGTTTGATGATCCTATTCAAAATGGCCAAATGGTGGTCATTTTTGTGCTAAAAAATCATCAAATATCGAGCATTTCTGGCATTTATGGATGGATTTCGTTCAAACTTGGTACATACATTAGACATTACAGGTTCCTGATGCACGTCATTTTATTTTTCAGATTGGATTCAAAATGGCTGACTGGCATTTTGTTTTAATGATTGGGCTTCTAGAGCCATATCTCTTAAATGCTTTGACTGATTATATTCAAATTTTATATATTCGTTATACATCATGTTATATATATACATGTATTCAAAATGGCTGATTTTGAATACTGTTCCAGAGCAATATCTCTCAATATGGACAAGTACTTTTTTGACGATCAGATACAAATGTCAATCATTTTAATGTTAAAAAATCATATTCCTGGCATGGTTATATTCCAGCTATATTACTATAAACAAAACTATATATCTTAAATTTGATAACTAACGGGGACTGTGCCATGCATGGCTTGTTATGTATTGTTTTTGATTTGGTAACTTTGAACTAAACAGATTTTCTATTAGCTTCAGATCTTGATCAAAGTTTAGCACCCAGTTCATAGGAGTGCTTATATTGATTTTCTGACATCTTGTTTTCTGTAAAGATTTTATTGGTAGGTTTGCAAATGTGTATCAGACTGTGCATTCTCTCCATCTGTTGGTTTTGAAACCCAATATGGGATTCTGAGATACATTACCAAGGATATTATTACAAGATAAATCATTTGCTTCATTGAACTCATACAACAATGCATATTTCCACTGAGATCAGAGACCTTTGATGTGTATCACAAGTGATCAGTCAAGTAGAAACAGTCAAAATATTTTATCAGATTTTTGCATGATATTTTCATACAGGACATCTGTTGTTCAAACTCAGGGAAGACTTTATACTGATGAATAAGGTGGCCAAGTTTGGTGAAGTTTGGAATAGAATTAGTAAAGTTATTATGCACACAATAACAATTATTAACGTCGACAACAACACCGGACAAAATTTTCCCCTTAATATACCTTTCCCTTCCATCTTTGATGGTACGGGCAAGGTAAAAATCTGATATTGAAGTGTCATAATGAGTTTTATACATGTATAATGTTTTACTGCCAAAATGTTGAATAGTTTTGCACATTTTTGGCTCCCGTGAGCAGAGCACAAAAAAAAATTTCATATAATTATTTGTTGGAAGAATGGATGTTCCACTAATATGTCAAGAACCACTGGGTTTTAATTTAGGAAAGAATTTCCTTATGTTAAATTAGCTTTGTATAATAAATAAATATAAATTTAAAGTGTCAACTTTAGTTACACAGAATTTAATTCTGTACAAAGGTCAAATTAAAAAACCATGAATATTAATGAGCTTCAAGCGAAGTGTCAATGACGATAGAGTAGTCAAAAAAGCACTTTTTTTAATGCTGCGAATTATATAGTTTTTACAGTACCAAATGCCTATTGTATAAGAAAGTTGGCCTGTGTCATGGATGTGAAAACCAGGTGTCGTTTCAGTGATCTCCCAAATTATATAACCCATTACCCAAATCATCGCTCAGGGTGATCTTTCAGATTAATATAGGATTTTAACGGTGTTTACCAGGGTGTCCAGTTTGCATTTTTGATTATCAACTTGTGCTCAGTGTTCAATGCTGGAAATAATCTCCTAAATAAGCTCCTAAATAATCTCCTAAATAAGCTCCAGCTCAGAAGGACTAATGAATTTTTCAAGCTCCAGGTCCTACCAAAACAAAGCTGGTCCTGATTTGTTAATCAAATATTGAAACAGCAGTAAAATATCATACATGCAAGAATGATTTGCCCACTGTTTGTCTGTAATCTTCATGTTTGTTATGTCTGTCATAATTTTGGTACATGTATTTAACAATCCAGCTTATTTTCCTTTCAGGTTATTAACTTGCGCTCCATTCGACCATTGGATTTTGATACTATAAAAGAATCTGTGAAGAAGACTCACCATTTAATCTCTGTTGAAGGAGGCTGGCCACAATCAGGAGTTGGAGCTGAAATACTTGCATGCCTTAGTGAAAGTAAGTATGGTTTATAAATACAAAATTACTTATCAATCTTAGAGATCTAAAACTATTTAACTTTGGAAATAGAAGACCAAAATCCATGTTTTAAATATATGCATGTTGTTTTTGTTCTGAGACGTTCAAAACAAGTGACCTGACAGTCAAAATACTCAAAATTACAAATATATTTGCTAAAACTACAGAATTGAAGATATCTAATTTAATAGGGATCAACACAAGGAACATGTGTACCAACTATAGAAGCAATTGAGTTAACAGTTTTCATAAAGAAGTTAAAAATAGAATTTTTTTAACAAAAAATGGCAAAAATATTTGTTAAAAATAGAAAATTGAAGATATCACAAAATGGCAAATCTGACAGAGGTCCACCAAAGATACCTACAAACCAAGTATCAAAGCAATTGAGCTGGTAGTTTTCAAGTAGAACATGAAAATGTAATTGCTGACAGGTGGACGGCTGGACTGACAATCACTTGGAAATAAAAAGTACAGTGACTAAAGGCAAATTAATTTGATGTGTCTTGTAGGTAAATTCAATTCTTTCCTGGCACATGCAATAAAACAACTGACAAGTGTTTTCATGTCTTTCAGGTGATGCATTTGATTACCTCGATTCACCAGCTGTTCGCCTCACAGGTGCTGATGTACCTATGCCATATGCTGCTACATTAGAACAAACATCTTTACCCCAATCTCACAATATTGTGGGTGCCGTCAAGAGAGTCTTGGGAATCCAATAGTATAAGTATGCTATAGCAGCTGTGTATATACATAGAACTATCTAGAGACTACTGGGACAGCAATACAATTGCATCACAAATACAGCTATCATCTTGTAGGGTTACCATTATTTATTAATCCATGTAATACTGAGTTAAAATTACCTGTGTGCTACCAAATGCATACACATAAAGATAGCTTTCAAATAGTGTTAAATGGATTACAAAAAATTAAGTTCACACTGCTTGAATGGATTGTTTTGTATATGCTACACCATCAAGTTTTTGATTTCAAGTTGCAAACAATTTTACAAAATCTAAATTTGAATTCTGCTTCTTTGATATGTTCATGGGGGTAACTTTAAATCCTGGAATACCATGTCTAATTTATACTTAAAACCAATTGACTGAAATATTAAATATTCTAAACTGTTAAGTTCTTTGACTGCAATTCCTATTATCTCAAGTTAAATCCTGTTCTGTTTGTTCGCCATCTTTTTTATTTACATGATTACATGATTCCTGTTTTATTTTTAATGATATGCATGCAGTTTGCAAGATTCTCATTGTCCAACACTTGTAGATTCCTGTAAAAATTTTAAGTAGCAAGAGTGTGATGATATTCAACTGCTGTGATGTTTTAAGGAAAAAAAGTATGATGTTTTAAAATAATTCATTGATGTTAATAATATGCTGGGTATTTATAAGCAGTAGACCTCAATAAACTATTTCATACAACACAATCTCTACTCTGATCACAGCTGCAGTAATATTCTTGTTAAACTGACAGGTAAGGAAACAATTGAATTTACCTTGCAACACAAGTCTATGCTGATCACACCTGCTGTAAAATTCTTACAGGCTGGAACACAATAGACTTAAAACTTTTTATTTTACTTATAACTTGGTAATGCAACAAGTTTTCACAAATATGGAAGCTGGTTTTTGTCCTGGTCGTATCCAATGTGTTTGATGGAAAATAGAGAATTTTAATCATTTTCTTTTGTAAATTCTACTTAAAACCTAAAATTCACACTGCTCGACCTGGAGCAAAAAAGCGCTTGCAAGTCCTAACCATTGACACCTGTCTGAAGAACACAATGGAATTAGTTTTTAATTGAAATAAATGCATATTAAACTAATATTAGCCATTTCAATGAAACTTGATACAAAGATGGTCAGGGATAATGCGCAAATCTAATTACCTAATCATAGGTCTTCCACAGATATCTTTAGTACGAAATATTGAAATTTGGTTCATACTTGCTTTTTATTTGGATAATCTACAGATTTGATTAATTTGGGGTTCAATTCCATGTATAAATGTGCTCCTGTGACCTCATACAAGTGTAGTACCCCAAACTCTGTTGCAGATACTGTAATGACATGCAACTAGTGCTATAATGGAGGCATTTAACAAGAGATGCGACTAACTTATCAGATGACTGTATGTAGTCATCTGGTTAATGTGCATATATAATGTGTTAAGCAATGTATGATTATACCAGGTATATGGTAGAGTGACCTTAACATCATGCTTAATTGTATCATGTGGAGTACTGATGGAGGTAGGGACAGGCAACTATAAACACTAATTGTGTTGTCAGACAAGATATACACGTATATCGTCATGATTGCATTATTCACCATAGCCACTTTGAACCACCCTGATAACTGCTTGCAGTTGTATTTTTAAATGCTGTGTTTATTACATCACCTAGCAGAAAATCTGTGGAACTAATAAATTACTTGTTAGGCGTAATTACAGCCTAGGGTAGAAAACATGAATCGTTATAGCATTCATACACACACCTCACAATGTTTCAACTTTTAAATTGTCAGTTAACAAGGTCTTTCATAGTAGCATGTCTATGGGATTGACGTACTAGAATGAATGAGTTCAATTATCAGCGTTCACTTTTTATACCCGATATTTAGGGCATTTCACAGCACGTACAAGTTGTTTTTATCAACAGAATTCATTAATAGATTTCAAGTTTCATGTACAGTGTCAAAAGCCATACCTCTGCTTCCCTTCAAGGGGTCACCCCCGGGGCGATCACACAACCAAGGCCTGTTAGTTTCATTTCTCTTTTTTTTTTTTTCCGTGCTTGATGTTGGGAATATTTTTATGCTGAGCGTTTTCGTAACAAAAAAGGCAGATTACAGTTGTTCACTGAGCTTCCTAGAAATCTAGTGCTTTGATGATTGACAGTTCCGGCATCACGGTAAGAGCTTTCCATTATAAAGCTGAGGGCAAGCAATGGCAAAAAAAGCTGGTATGTGTCGCTCTAAAAAAATTCCGTGCCACAGCCTTCTTCACATGTTCCCCACCTGATCCTCATGCCTTTGTTCAGATAGGTTACGCGGATCGGGAAGGCCATGCTGCATGATCATTTGACCGGCACCAGAGCCTGCAAGTGCATTGGGGCGCTGTGGGCAGAACTTAAACCCATCAACTTTGTAGAATGGGTCTCCTTGGTGTTAGAGCGTCAAGCTCACCCTTTTAAGAAATAAACTATGATCCTCGGGCAGATGGACCAGTTTTGGCTGCTATGTGCAACATCATCCTGGCCGGCTAGCTGATGTGGTGGTCGTTTTGGTGGTTGCTCAGGATCAATGTATCCAATTGAAGCAATCATTCGTGTTGGCTAGGGCTGTTTGCCCTTTTCAGCCAACAGATCAAACCAAAACCACAGGACGGCTCAGGCAATAAGTCCCCTGCTTAGGACCAGAACCAGCGAGGATCTAAGCGCTCATGCAGCAGCACACACCAGCTTGGCTCAAAGTCCTCTCCGGTCTTCTCCTCCTCTGACTGCTCATCCCCCCCCCCCCTCTGGTCTTCTACTGAGTGATGAGGTCAAGGCAGAGATGACCCGGCAGTAATTAGCCATCCTTCTGGAGAAAAGGGCGGTACGCCTACACATTCCTCATCCCCATTCAACACGCTTGCAGCCGGTATCTCAGATTCCTTTTAGTGGGCAAGTTTACAAGTATACCGCCGTCTTTTCATGTACGATTAACGTAACCGCTCCTCCACGAGTTATACCATACTGTCCCGAAACCTATTATTTTCTGGGTACACAGTTCGAAACAGAATAAAGGCTTGTTCTCCCCTCTCAGACGTGGTGTGACTCCTTTGTGGAGCTTGACAGCCAACTCCGGTCGACTGGATCAGCCTCTATGCGCAAACTGATGTGCATCATTGGTAGTATAGTTCCGTCAGCAGCTCTTCGGCCTTGTCCGATTCAGGTGCTTGTTGAGCCGCTAGGCCCACATGCGGAACCTGACGTTCTGGGTTCACTTGTCGAACCAAGTCCTGGCAGTAAAAGGACGCTCGGAACTTGGAGAGGGAAGTCTCCCTAGATCCGACGACTCTCTCGCTGACTGATGATGGCCATCTGATGGAGCTTCTAGTCAAAATGACGTGGCCGAGCACGTATGTGGTTGAAGTTGTAGACCGTCCTACTGTCTCTGAAATATTTTCAGAAGGTTGCGCACCACCACAGAGTCCTGCTTTGGACAGACAACACCTCAGTAGTGTCAGACAGCAAGAAGGGGGGGGGGGGACATGTTTCCCCACATTGTCAAAGCTAGCAAAGGAAATTCGGTGCCTGGAACCAAGTGGAGGTATGGCTCACCATCTTCCAAAGATGCACAACAGTGCCATGGACGCCCTCTCAAGACTTGTTTGATTTTAGAACACAGAGTGGCAAATCCCCCAGTGGTGGCGATCACTTTTTATTCATCTCTGGGACAGTTTGCTCCACTAACACCTCCCTGTCTCGGTTGTGTAATAACCAGTCGTAGGTATGGGTTCAGATAAACTGACGACCGATGTAGCAGCTGGGTCACCTGTCTTACCATTTTGGTGAAGCCTTACGATGCCGTGCACAGACCAAAAGGGAGGGCGGTAAACTCATAAACATTGCCCTCTAATGAGAACATGAGATACTGGCTGCATGAGTGGTGAATGGGGATGTGAAAATAAGCATTGAGCGTCACTCAAATGCAGCAATGCCAGCCAATCGCCTGAGTGCACTGACAGAAGTACCAAAGTCAGTGTTTCCATTTCCACAAACACGCTCAGCCAACTGATGTCTAGGACTGGATGCTGCCCCCGAACTCTAGGGAACGAGGAAGATGTGGATTAGAACCCTGGAACTTAATGGGGGTTCTCCACTAGGCGTATCGCTCTTTTCTCCAGAAGGCTGGATACTTCCTACTGGATCGTCTCATCCCTCAGTCAGTCCATAGCCTGGGCCACACGAGGTGCCCAGGGAAGTTGACCAACAGGCATGGTCTCCACACCGGCAGTGGGAGAGCAGAGCGCCGATGAAAAGCGGGGCCAAAGGCAAATCCCCCATCCTGGGAGGGGGGATTCCCACCAGCCCCACACGGAACAAAAGTCTTGCACCAAGCACTGTCTGGTTCACAAGCTGTGACCTAAACTGCATATTAATAAGGGTCAGCTGGGCTCTGGTTGGTTGGGTAGCCTGTGACTGTCCTAACAAAGTGGGGACGAGAGACGACAAAGCAGTGGTATCTGCACCCCCCCAAAGGGGTTGTGTACCACCCTGCACCAGAGTACCAACAATGGAGTCCCCTCCCTTCGCAGAGTCACAAGTAGGGGCACTCTGTGCGGCTTGGTGAGACACAGGAAGCGATGCCTGGTCAGCTCGAGCCTGAGGGGGGGATTCGGAAGAGGATGCGTAAGGCGATCCGTTCAAGGGAGAGGACCCCTTCTCCCTTTCCCACTAATGTGAGTTGTCCCCCCCTGTCCACCTGGTCATCCTGCGTCGTACCCCGCGACTGCAGGAGAGAGTTGACTTTTGAGGCCAGATTAAACATCCAGTCCTTCCAAGCCATCTCAGGACCATGGGAGAGCTGAGCACCGTCTGTCCCTATGTTCACGCAATCAACTCGGGCTGCATCAGTATCAATGAAGTCTCGGTGGATTGAACCGGTTCAGTCTCAGCGCCTCAGTAGGAATACGCTGTTTATCGACATCGGTAATTCAGATTTCCCGACAAAAGCGGTGGAGCGGTGGATGCCCGCCTCAGTCATATCGCATGGAGAAACTGACTCCACTAGTACTTCCAAGGTAGCAACCGACGCCTCCGTCACCTCACCGGTGAAAAATTGTGAAGGTCTTGCCTCGATCTTCGATCCCACCACATTGAGCAGGGACTCGGACCGCGACAACTCTCGGTCTCCCTAAGTTTGCGATAGGAGGCAAGTCTCGTCTCGGCCACTAAGTGGACAGAGAGATTCATCACTCATTGAATCAGACACATCACTAGCTGCGGCTGGGGATTTCCCTTTTTTAATGTGAAGTCTACCAGCTTTCGATCGCTTGCCTTCAGCCTTCCATGCTCCCCCGTTTTTGAATCCCAAAGATCACAGAGACTTTCAAGGCAAAAACTTGAGTCCCGGATGCAACCCAAACACGAGTGGAAACACATGTGTAGATCCCATATTGGCATTTTAGCATGGTAAGAGGAACATGTCTTGTGTCCCTACGACTGCGTTGGAACATTCTCAGTCTTTTTTAGGACTTGGGCATTATGCAGTCTAGAAAAGATAAGAAATGAAAAAAAAACAAGAAAATTCACTGCGCCAAAAATAGGAATCGATTCAACAAAAAACAGGTAAAAATGGGCCCTTAATAAAAGAAAGCCTTTATCATAATGATGTTGATCGTCAAACCAATATATCTATGACATTATGTATAATGAA